AACTTGAAGCATCGCCATCGCATTGGTTCCCCTCATCCTCTGGGGTCGTTTGATCAGGAGAACACAAGAATCGGTAGTTGCAAAAAGTCGTTGCACGAGCGCACACAATGTAGAACAGAAGTCATAAAGATGACGCTCAGAAAAGAGTTAGTAAACGTCAACCACTTATTCCAGGCAACGTCATTACCATTTGAGCGACTGGAAATAGTACCGTAGTGGATTCGGCCCTCCTGTGAAAGACCGTTCATACTTCATCGCCTCTAGAGGTTGAGCGTTTCCGCGATGAACGGCTGAGCGCGTTTGACACGCGATACAGCATCCCAATGGGCGATATGGCAGTATCAATACGACCCCTCCCAGGATTCCCTCTGCCAGAACGACCCCGTCCCCCATCGTATCTCCTACAGCTTCAAATCCTCCCTACTCCCTGCAAAATTTCCCGACTTACTTAAAATTTCTCCATTTTTTCATATAAAAACACTTGTCGGTGTCACGATCATTTATCAGAAATGGTGGTTCTGTGGTGGTTCTGCAGCATCACCAACTAGGGAGAGAGGGGAGAAGGGCAGAGTATAGCGCCCGTGGAACGCGATTAACTGGAAAAAATCAACAATGAGAAAGAACTTCACCGTGGCTCGAAAAAAGTTCCTCCCGGAAGCCAGAAACGACCCCTCGCTCCCCTCCCCCGTACTCGATGCAATTCTCCCTACAATGCTGTACCCTGGTTCATCACCGTTTCTGTTCCCTCTTAATCAGGGAATTGCACGGAAATAGCGAATATTGAACGCTGCTCAATCATCGGAGTATAGTGCTGTCCCGGAGTCTCATTACTCATCTGAATGTGTAAAAACAATGTGAAACTCGAAAAATTTTATTCCAAAAAACTCAAAAGAAACTATTGACTTTTGAGACTTTTGTTGTCTTTTGAGTTTTTTGGAATAAAATTTTTGGAGTTTCACATTGTTTTTACACATTCAGCTGCTCAATCAGTTTGCTTGTGACAGCCTTTCCCTCCCATTCTTTCGTTCTTGTGCACAAACACTATCATTTAATGAGCAGCAGACAGCACGTTTGGCGATTACGACCATAACCTCAATGATACATTGAGGGGAAATTGGGGCGCCCCTCATCACCACCTCACACTAAAGGGAAGGGCGAAGCAATGACGTCGTGCCTTGCCTACACTACACAATTATCCCATGGTTTCCCTAGCCGTCTTCGGAACATTGGTAGACGAAGTACATATCTTAAGAATTTACCACTTCAGAATTGTACATGGCACAGTCGGGCTGGAGGCCAGCGGCAGTTGGAATGAAACTATACTGTTTACCACAATCACAGGTCCACTATTTGTGATTAGAACATTCACAAGCACAATCAATGTCTGCTCGGTTTCTCCCGTACTGTTCTGTCATTTCTACTTGAACGTAATTCTAATAGCGGTAGGTACATGGTGCCACCTAAAAACCTATTTACCTTCATTAAAGGTTTGTTGTGAACTTCGATTCACAATTTAGACTATGTGCCTTCACAGTGAAGTCCATCACAGCACTAGATGCCAGTCAAATTCTGTCCACACTTTCAAGGTATAACCTTCTTGAACGGAGCCGCCCCCCTCCCCTCCCTCCTCCCGCGCGATAACAGGCGCGGCAACTTAGTGAGTCATCCCTGCTGCGCCCAGGAGAGCCATAAGTTCCCATGACACATCAATGTTTAATCAGTTTGCACAGGCCCTCCAGATGGGATTGAAATCGAAAACCACAATGCATTCCCGCACTCGACAGTGATGCACGATGCGACGCGAGCGATACGCTCCCACCAGGAAGATTGCCTTGCAGTCCCGACTCATACCATTATACGTTTCCACAGTCGGATCGCCCGGCGCTGATGCCGAGCTCTCCTTCCTTCTCTTCAGCTTCGGCTTCGCGCGAGCTGCCAAGGAACCCCCCCCCCCAAGGCGCGCTCTATAGTGGGAAATGGAACTTCTTGCAATCACTTGGGGCCTGCTCGTACGGCGCTTTATAGTGTTCGAATCAATACGATTACGCAACCTGCGGATCATGCACTCCTTTTGTTAGCAAACGCTTACACTTGCGGTCCGCGCCATAATGTCCACACAGTACGTACACCTAAAGATATAGATACAAAGTGCGGTCGATAAATACAGCCCTTGATTGTGGGTAGTATATCCTCCCTTCCTTTGTTATTCGTTCTCATCAGTAATTGATAGCTCGAAAGAAAAAAATCTCAAATCAAAATTTTCCTGACTTTCCCGTTTCAGGCGTACTATACCCCCCCGCTCGTCGCCATCGACATTATATATAGTAGGATAGGATAAGACAGTGGGATGAGTTCATTTTCTATTGTTATCAGGAAAGTGATGGCCAATGGAAAAGTTAGGCTACTGAGCCTTCAATACATAGCAGTGTAGTGGTCACAGATGTCGTGAGAATGTCCCCTTATCATTTTTTATCAATTGATAAGATTGCCAGTCACCCGTCAACAATGTCGCTATCATTAAAAAACTCCTTATAGTTCGGTAGTGTAAAGGCTTCAGCACTTTGACTGCTGAACAACAACGGCAACGTTGCTTATCAGCCCCTATCAGCTGTTATCACTTCCCGTCACCCGCCCGCTGCCGTCCCCACCTACCCTCCGATTAGTATCATTGCTGAAATCAACGCCTGGCTGCTATGTCCGAGTTATGGACATAGTGACCTTCCCATTCTAGCTCCCCTTATCGTAACTTATCAACTGTTATCACAAATTTCCAGATTGTCGCCACCAATAATGTTCCGTCCCGGACCCTATATCGTACCTTAGGAACAACCGCTCAGTATTGCTGCGACCGCGCAGAGAACTTCGGTGACCGTCCTTTGGACGCCTCTTATCGAATCTTATCAACTGATATCACATCCTGTCACCCACCAATGGTGTTCCCGTCACACCCCCTCCATCACTTCCTGGAATCAACGTTTCTCTGCCACTGGGACAGGTGTTATGAATTTCGTGACACACACACATACACACACACACACTTAGCGGATTATATATAGTAGGACATTTCAAACTGTCCACCAGGTGGCGTGCATCTCGAAGACAACGGCTTAGGCGAAGACAGGAAATTTATGTGAGCTGCCGGGCTTCTCATATGCAGTGAAGAAGAGGAACGCAATAGTGTCCAAAGGCGGAGTCGCTTCAACTCATGAACTCACGCTTTCTTTGGATATGGTAGCTCATCCGACAAGGATGGAAGACGCTCAAAAATATTACAGGAAAGCGCCGTCCGCTCGTGAAGGGGCAGCTGTCCCGCCCACTGACTGCCGCAACGCTCTGCGTTCATTTGTGACGGTTATCTGGTGCTACGGATGTTCCGCTACTAACTTACTCCTCTTCGAATGGTGAGAGTAAAGTGGTAAGGAGAAAGAGCTGGCACAGGCAAGATAGGACTCATCCGACTACACTCTTTCTTCGCCTTATGCATGAACATCCTCAGTCTGGCATGGGGTTCTATATAGGGCATTTCTCCTGGGTTTTCTTCTAGCTTTTGTCTTCACTGTGGCACTTGCGACCTTGTTATTACTGTGCGAGCCGTATAACACACAAGTTTTGAACGCGGCTTTGACTTTGAACGCGGGTTCTATGGTGGAAGGACAATGAGAAGTGATTAAGCGTGGCGAAGTCCTCCCAGTAGAATTGTGAGCGGGCTTGATCTGCCTGTTCAAATGAAATTGTGAATGCACCAATAGAAAGATCAGGTAGTCTCACCCATATTTTAGGGCAACGTCGAATAGTAAAGCAGTATCGTACTGTACAGCATGAAAGCAGCAAAAGCTTATCGCCTAAGAAGACAAGCCGTCTTCTCGAATGGACTTCGACTGCATCGAACAAAAATCCTTTCTTCAAAAGGAGACACGGAGGCGCTGTTTTGATTGACGTGGTGGGAAGCATTTTGCTAGCTTCTTAAGTTTCCTCACTTTGGTGAGACTTGTAAACATTCATAAACAACGAAATGGAACAATCTTGATGCAGCTGCTCTGACTAGACCAGTAAACGCTTACAAACCTTCCATAGGGCATGAGCTTCGCTTTGTGTGGCTGCGCTAGCTTCACACGAGTTTTTAGGTCTCCACAAGGTGGCAAGTGCTGGCTGATGCCGTTTGTACGCGATGACTTTTGGCTGCGAGCTCATTTTTAAAGTGCCTAAATCACCAAATCCGCTGAAAACTTGTATATAGGGGTAATCTAACATCCTGTTCACAAATATGACATTCATTCCTGGCGCTGGCGCTAATGGAAGGACACTACGATTATCTTCTGGGTTCAGCTTTAGCAGAGGGCAGATAATCGTAGTGTTCTCCATTAGCGCCAGCGCCAAGAATGTCGTAGTCGTGACCAGGATGTTGGATTACCTCTATATACAAGTTTTCAGCGGATTTGGTGATTGTGGTTTAGGCACTTCAAAAATGAGCTCGCAGCCGAAAGTCACGGGGTACAAACGGCATCAGCCGTGCTTCGCGGAACAAAATTTGGAAAAGTTAACAATACTTCATATCCATGGGAACAGCAATTCTCCTCCCCCCCCCCTAAGTCTACTGGCACAGGCGTTTATCAAAGAATTGTGCACACGAAAAATATCCGGAGCTCGTCTACCAGCGTAGCTTTCGGGTGTGCAGTAACTAGCTGAACGCGAGTAGCATTCCTTGTCCGATAGTAAATCGAATTACTATAACATAATCGCATCAAATAAATAGGTCTTGGTGCGGATATCGCGCACGCGACGCCACCTGCAGCACTGCGCTACTGCAGCTTCGATAACCTGACGCGCAGCGCAGTTTCGCTGATGAGAAATTTGACCAATGAAGCAACGGATCGACGACTGATCTATAAAAAGCTTTTTTGTGTGCCTAGAAAAAGCTTGTGATAGAACACTGTTGTAAATGCATGGAGAACGAAAAAATTCAGAGGAAACAAACAGATGATTGATCAAATAAAATTTATTTACACTAAATCTTCTGCACTGATATAGTCCCTGAGACTTTTCGGTATAGATTTTCCTTCGTAGAGGCCATCAATTAGTCGAGCTAATACTCGGTCAATGTCCGTTTCCACATAGACCATTCGAACGAAGGCACCGGTATCAACTCGGATGTTGAGACGACGAGAGATGTAGTCTCCGATACGAGATATCTTAACACAATAATGATATATCATGAGCCGAAATCACAAAAAAGCATACTTCTGGAGTATGTCCGAAGGACTGCGACTGCTCACGTGAAGGGGTTCGAATAGTCAGGACAAGCAGACTAGCGGCCAGTAGCTCAGTATAAGTATCTATTATCGTGCCTTCAAGTATTTCCCAAAGCTAGCAGGAATCATTGCAAAGCTAAGGAGTCCTCCGAACACCCTTTATCGCAGACCCCGCTGCTATCCTACCATTTATTCGGCCAATGAGATCCATACTCTGGGGTTGGTCTGCAAGAGTAAACTATAGTTGCTCTTCAGTTCTAGCCCCCGTCATTTGATTCAGAGTTTGCAGCATGAACAACGTGACGCCTCAATTGTCATATGGAGTCTGCGCTTCAGTCGCATTCGGAAGCGCTTACTACTACGAGACTTGTCAAAGTGCCACTAGCGCCGCGCATGAAACTCGTCGTGCGGACACCAGTCGGAACAGATGGGGCCTGGATATGGTAGCGTCGTGCTTCGTCTCTGGCTCTCCGCAAGTTGCTTTTAAGGCGGAGCATGGAGGAATAAGCCTCTCACAAGGTCATGGAGCTTAATTCCCTCTCATGTTTGTGCGGGGAAACTCACTACGCTTGGACAGCCGGGGACCTGCTAACTGTGCACGTTCTAAGGATACACCTCGCAGGCGAGCCTGCGTCCTCACTCCACTAGCTACAACTGCACAGGGTCTTTTGAAACATGTCGTAGCGATCGTACTTGAATAGCAGAAGAGAATTTTGCTTCAATGCGAAAGAGTGCAAACCTACTCACTTTTGGAAGGATGGGACTTTTCACCGTTACAGTTCAGCAGACCCCACCTCACAATGATTTTTTTTCTTGGGACTTAGGAAGGCAAGGTATGCAAGAAAAAAGGACCTTCAATTTGAAGATCTCAAGTTCTGAAATAAAGACATACTCTGGCCAGTTCTAGTCCATTATCCTCAATAACAATTGCTTGAGATTCGTAGTTCCTCAGCTCCTTTCCCAAAACAACACGAGCTTTCACGTCCAGGAATAAGCCTTCGTCCAGCAGTGCTCCTACGCAATGTTCGCAGGGTAAAATGAATGGATAGGAAGCGGATAAGTGATCCAACTAACCAATTTTGCTAGCACTATCACTCATTAATTCGCCCATTTGCACATCAGTCAAGGCTAGTGACAGAACGCAATGTTTCAGGCGTTGGCGAGCGTGAGCCAAGTCTACGACCTTCCTCTGCAACCAGAAACATTGAAATACATTCGAAGAAAAGTACTTAAGAGACTAGATCTGAACAAAACCTTGGCATGATAGGAAGCACCGGCGCTCTGAATAGTGACCGGCCACTCATTTTTAGCTTCTAAGAACTGTGCCCGTAAAAATAATGAAACAAGTGAGAAGAGCGAATGTCCAACTGGAAAGGGGAAGGTGACAAAGTGTTAAACCTTATTTGGTAACAATTAGAAAG